CTAGCACCCCGAACTATAACTGCAACCGCTCCTCGAAGTGGCACGCGACCAACACCAACACCTACCATTGAACCGCAACGAGTCCGGTGCACCATGTGCTGCCGCCCTCACCGACTACAGCACTGCAGCATCTTCAGGGGCATGCAACCGATGCAATGCCAGCAGATTGCGCAGATTCATGGGCTCGCAGCGACCCTGCAAGCAGACAACAACCAAAAACTCGGGCGATACGACACCGACGTCTAGAAGCTCTTCCTGCGTCCCGACTAAGGATTCAGCGAAACGGATTTTCGATGCAGCACGGGCAACCTAGATTGCAATATCGCCGCTCCACGGAAGTGAGCAACGTTGTAGCTGCTGCAACCACTCCTAGGCTAAAAATTCGCCTAGGGGAGCCGAGATGGCTAAATGAGCAAACACAATCCCACAATCCACTATAAGCACACCACTCTACATGCAACCCTGACACACTCCAACCCACCTTAATAATACAATCCACTCCCGAAAACACCACACACCAATACATACAAATCAACACCACCCACACATTCTACTCCACTTCTCTTTGCCCAATCAAAAAAAAGGATCGTTGACTTTTTTCGGGCCTCTTCTGATCGATCGCCGTCATCGTGAACCTTCGAGTTGGATATTTTTTCGAGTCTTTTTCTCCGCTCCACCGTTCGACCCCGGATAGCTGTATCGTTCTTCAAATTATTTTCTTTTAAGTACAATTTCAATAATTTATTTTTAATTTTAGCAAAGATGACAGGTTTGCTTTTTCAAACTGTCATCTAACGGTAAGTCCAGGAAACGAGCTGTTTCGGTGGAGTCGAACCATAGGGAGAGAGCTGTTAGATGGGTGGTGTTGGTTGGGCATGCAAAGAGGGTGTTAGTGTCATGTCAGTATATTTGGTATGTCGGGGTCGATTCTGGATAAGTAGGAGTTTGGCCTGCTACAGTACCCAGAACGAAGTTGCGCAAGGGTCATTCTAGATTATCATGGCAACTCGAGCTCTTCATCCACAGTGGATGGTGGTTTGACTCCAAGTACGCCATTCACTGAGAGGGAGTCGGTGAGGGGGTTAATGGCTCCACTGTGGATGCAGTCAATACATGTCTGAAGTTTTTTGCATCCGCAGTCTGGTCGGCGTACTGTTCAATGTCGTCGACGTAGTCAAGGAAGGATCTCTTGATGTTCCTAGGAAGAGCTTCCGCTTCAAGCAGACGACTGCAGGGGTGGTTTCTGCGAAAACATCCCATCAGAAACTACTTGGAGAGGAGTTCGTTGTGTTTCTTAATCGCAAGCATAGGGCCCTCGCCTTGTAAGTGTCCAACCGGAGATATCAAGAGGCATCCTGTGATAGTCCGGAGTGCAATGTTCTGGCATGTCTGAAGCTTTATCGTCAGCGTTGCACCACATCCAGGCGATAGGTGTGGCGTAGTTTAACCGGCCGGCCGTTTGTCTTGTATGTTACCAACAACTTTTCTTTGTCTTTTCCGCATGAGCACGTCGGCAAGCGACTGATGGATTTTGTTGCGGCTCTGTAGTTTGGCAGTTATCGCGATCGTATGAGGAGTGAAGGAGCACAGGCTGTCAAATGTTACACCTACGATCTTAGGGTTATTGACCGTCGGTAATGTAATGCCATCGACTGTAGATGACTTCGAGCCTAGATGCTTTAGCATTAACATGTTGATTCCATCTGAGCCAATGAACTTGGATGATTTAGCCTTGTTGACGACACTCTGAACCTCCCCATCGATGAAAGTAAGTGCCGCGCGGTCTTTTGGCGTTTTTTGGAGTCGTCGGGTAACACATCGTTTGGCCTTGCCTGCCGCAGAGTGTAGTGTTCCGGCTAAAATAGCTCGCGCACTTCTTCGAGTCCGGGGAGGCATGGCCATCGAAATGAAATTCAACCCGGTCGTCATGTTTCCTCGGATTTGACAAGACCTTGACAGTATTCCAAAGCATACTCACACCGATGAAGAGATTACAAAACTTCAAATGCTCTACTCATTTTGTCCGCTTATGCTGGTTTTCCATGTGCCGAATCTCCAAATTGAAATCTCTTATTCGGAGATCGCAGGGATTGGCATGGCGTAAAGTGTCGCGCTCACTAAAGCTAAAACAGCTGCTTTGGCATACTAGTAGAAATAAAATGCGGTCTTGTCAGATATACATTTATTATTATTGTTTATTTTACTTTTTTTTAAAGTAAATTGTTAATTTTTTACGGATAACCACTAATCAATTTAAAATAATCCTTCTGATTAACTGTAAATATGTATGTGCACAGGTATTTTAACATCATTTGTTTTGACCAAGCCTAATTTACAATTGGGTACAAACCCGGTAAGATATTGGGATAAGAGCCCTAATTCTTTCTTTGCCCAAGACATAGAATTGGAAGACCCTGTTTATTTTTTTTTCATGTTTTCCTAACCATAATATAGTTTAGCACTTTATATGATATGACAGATATCGAATAATACTAACCGAACGTTCCGTTTCCATAACAATCGAGTTAACGTCACCGGAACGGACCCGGATTTTTTCCCGCCAAGGACTGTCAAAATTCTGCCGCTACAACAACAACAACACTAACCGAACCGATATCGGTAAATCTGTGAAACATATTAATTAAATTGAGATAAATGGGAAGATGTATAGCCATACACTTAATACGACTCGCATGTGATAAGTTTCCGATGACTTCACGACTTTCAATGAATGGTTTGGGCCACTCAAATACTTGTGTTAGTGATAAAGTAGACGCTTCACAACATTTTTGCAACATTTTCAACGATTCCGTAACCGTGATTCCATTGAAAACACAAAATTCTAGCAAACACGTTAAATTTATTTTCAAAAATCTTTATATTTTCGCGTCGAAAACAAATAGCTGCCAAACACAAACTAAGTGATTCACGGAAATCAAACATTACATGAACATAAAAAAATGTTTTACTAATTTATGAAATTTTTTTTATCGATTCGGTTTGTATAAGCAGTTTAAATAGGTCAGTGCGGGTTATTTTTGATCGATCGCTTTATTTATTTATGTATTGACCACGCCAATCAGCATTGAAGGTACTTGAGAAAAAATACAAAAAACAAAATATATATAGGGCGCTGTGGTAGCATTTACTGGTGGGGGAGTTGCATAGATCAAAATCCTAGATTACAAGAGTAAATGTTTCTTGGTGTTATCGATAAAAGCCGTGTATGTACCTTCGTAGAAGTCAATCTTACCCTGAAGTGAATTGATAGATTTAGCCAGTCTATTTTGGGATCCAGTGTAGTAGAAACTGAGATCAGCAACCTGTCGACGTGCAGATAGTTTATTGATGTTAAAGAGCTGGTATACCTCATCAGTGAAGTAGGTGTGACTTGATGATGGCAATTTATAGGCCAGTGACTTGCAAAATTTGCGTTGGATACTTCTCCACTTTGTGTATTATTACATTTGAGAAAGGGGACCAGATAACTGACCCATATTCAAGGACAGGTAGAACCAAAGAATGAAAAAAAACTAGTTAGGGTGTATGGGCTGCTGAAATCTATACCGTTTCTTTGAATGAATCCGAGGGTTTTGAATGCTTTGGAAGTGATTTTATCAATATGTTTATATTAGTATAAATCCTAGATCCCTTATATAATACAAGGTGCGTTCCAAAGTAAACAGTAAAAAAGTAACAAAGTAAACTCTAGTGACGCCATCTAGTGCGTTAGAATCTGGTATCCTTTATCGACTTCCAGTAAAAATTTCATGACATTTCATCTATTGGAAGAGAAGTTATTGCGTTTTCAGTATGTCAGTATGTTTTTGTCATCGGTGCGAAAATGAGCTTCGAACAAAGAGCCAACATTAAATTTTGTTTTAAAATTGGTAAAACTTTTACCGAAACGTTTCAATTGATGAAACAAGCTTGTGGTGATGATTGCCTATCCCGTAGCAGAGTACACGAGTGGTTTCAACGTTTTCAAAGTGGTCGTGAGGACATAAATGAGAAATGAGCCGAAACCCAAAAAATCGCGCCTGGAGAAGTCAAAAGTGAAGACAATCCTGATTTGTTTTTATGATTCCAAGGGTATTGTCCACAAAGAATTTGTTCCACCCGGCCAAAACGTTAATGCGGTATTCTACCTTGTAGTTTTGAAGCGTTTGGTGCGCCGTATTCGACGTGTTCGACCCGAATATCGCGAAGATGAAAGTTAACGTTTGTTGCACGATAATGCGCCGTCTCATCGATCGAAACTTGTGGCCAATTATTTGACCAAAAATTACATTTTAACAATCAACCACTTCCCGTATTCACCTGATATGGCACCGTGCGACTTCTACTTTTTCGGAAAAATGCATTTGCCGATGAAAGGAAAGCGTTATGCAGACGTGAAGGCCATTCAAAAGACTTGCACCGGCATACTGGCGGCCATACCGGGCAACGAGCTGAAACACTCGTTCGGCATGCTTTTGGACCGTGCAAAAAGCTGTATTAAAGCAGAAGGAGACTTTTTTAATAAAATTAAGTGATTTTGCCGATAAAACCATTTGTTCTGTCTTTTTTTTTAAGTCCTGTTTACTTTGGAACACACCTTGTATAACGATCCTTAGCGGGTATAATGTAAGTTAATAGGATTCCTAATATGATTGTAAACCATTCACGGTTTCGTCGAACAATGGCTTTTGAATTTATTTGCAGTACCTAAAAATAATTTACCGCCTTTAAGCCTCACAAATTGCAAGAGTATCAAATTCGGATACACTAGAATTTAACCCTTATTTATTTGTTTATTTTGAAATCAATTCTTGAGAATATATATATATATAATAAATAAAAATGCAACCTTACAAAAACAAATGTTACATTTAGTTTTCCATTCCTTAGAATTTTTGTCTCTGATTCACAAGTGTTATTAAGTTTCAGTAGAATGACTCTTCTCAGTTTTTTTTACAACTAAACAGTAGAGACTTATAGTACAGGGCTATGTACTTATGTATGTATATGTATATTAAAAATATAATATGAACATAAAATACTTATATTATTCTCAAATACTAACCATAGCTCTTTTGACTTCACTGTGTTCCAGAAGTAATGTTGGCATTTTTGTACAACTTACAAAGTAGAACACGGTGTCATATCTGTAAATATATTTATTAAAAAAATGTGTTACATCAATATACTAATATTCATATGGAAGCAGTTTTAATGGCTACAGTACACATGTATATTTATGGTAGGTAGATACATTGAACAGATATAACGGAGTAAAACAAAGAAGCTTTCAAAGGGAAGTTTTCCTACTATATATGGTATAATGCATCGAAAATACAATGATGTGTTACTATGATTAAACTAATATTTATTATTGTGCTTCATTCTTATAAATTGATAGCTAGTAAATAAGATTTCCAATATTAATCTAAACATTGAGTATAATTCATTTCGCTAATGTAAAAATACTCCTTATGAGAATCTTGCCATTATTCAATTGATTATATCATATATATGTAATGGAATATAATTATAATTAAAACTTTATTACAGTGGTCGTCCAGTATAACGAATTTTATGTTGTACACCTAATTTTAGTTTTTTTTTTCAATAATAAATGGCTTTCTATTTGACATTGCAAACCAAACGAAATAGAACCAACCTCACGACAAAATTAATTTTGAACTGACGGAATTACGTTCAATTCAAAGTCAATGGAAACTTTCAAAGAATGCATTTATATTTTCTGCAGTTGTTGTACAACAGTTAAACTGCCATTAGTTAAAAAAAACCTTAGTTTTTGCAAATGCGAAGGTAAAAATATAGCAATGTTCCCAATATCGAATAATTAAAAATTTGAAGGAGTCCTCGCATATCCGTTAATATTTATTTATATATTTAAATCTCGTTATTACTATTATATGGGTAAAATATTGTGTTGATTATTTAAATAGCGTATAATAAACCTCTTTTGCGCAACGAATGGTGAACGCCATAAAGACCATTCGTACAGGCAACATAGGTCCGGTACTATTTGCAGATTCCGGCATAACTTAAGGAATTGTTTCGCGTCATTATGAACGGAAAGCTGCCATCCGACACGATCAAAATCCTCAAAATCTTCCCCAAAAGTAGGTGCTATACTTATTTTTTTAAGTGTTTTATGATTCCGGGAAAATAAAATTCCAACTTCCTCAAATGTTTCGCGACAAGCAGTTAAACGCAAAGAAATAGCACGTGAAAATTTTTTACCACTGGTTAAAACTGGGCTCGATCTTTTAATATTTGACTCTTTGACAATTAGTCTGTCTAGTTGATTCGAGCTTACGCCGTACTCTTCGAAGTAATCCATCCATTCTTGACATTCATCTGATGCCTCCTCGAAAGTTCCTCCAGGAAAGACACAGTGTCCAAGAGCAAAAGCCGTGTTCGTAGTTCGTTCAAAGAGTAGAATCTGGAAATATGTTTATACGAAGAAACCATTAAGTAGTTCCTTATATTTACTTACGCATAAAAAAATATGTACACTTAATTTGTTATTTATTATGAACGTTTCTAGCTAAATAATAAATAATTTACCAAAATCGATTTTCAAAAAAATCACCGTATGAATTTTTGAAGTAATTTTTTTTTAACACCTTTTAGTTGTGAAATGTTTATTTTTTAATGTGTTATTTCAATATTTGTACTTAAATGCTGCATTCTTTTAAGAAGAAAGAAGCAAAAGCAATGATGTTTTTATTTCTATTATAATGAAAAACACTAAAATACAAGGTCAAGTAAAAATCCATTATTTTTGCTTTAAGTTGAAGGTTTCATTCGGCGTAGTTGAAATGAACCTATTTAGGATATGAAGCGTTTTGTTCGATAACTTGTTGACATTTTTAAAGTAAAGGCATTATAGCAAGGCATCATATTCGACGCAAAACTGTTGCAGTATAAGTATCAGCTGAGTATCTACACAAAAACACCAGTCTCGCAATATTGGTACAGTTACCGCCAATCACCAGAAATCATCCACTTCAGAAATTGATCGATTTTGTTGCGATCCGATTTTTTATCGTTGACTGATGTGGCATTCATACTTTTTTTGTAGCCAGCTTTATTTAAATGATTTCAAACGGTGCAAACTTTAACTCCTAGACAATCAAAATTGTGCTTATATGCTCGAAGTCAATGATTTCCATTGTTCTATTGATATTTTTGGAAATTCAGAATGTGGTGCATCTTTGAATCAAAATTACCGAAACGGAATCCGCGAAACCAAACGCATGATTAGCTGTTACCGTATCAGGACTATAAAAACTATTCATAGAAACTATCATAGAAAAACTGTAAATTCTCAGATTTTATCTTTGCTAGTGTCCATCCTAGACGCGTGCACAAATAACGCTCGATCGGACTTATATATGGGGAAGGAGTCCATAACACTTCTGTGGTAATCATCGCGATTCGTAGCAGCAATACATTTTTGACTCGAAATTTGCCATTGAAAATTGTGACATCGATGTTTTTCATTTATTTCTTAATTAATTAATCGCTTCCATTGCACAGCCGTGGTGGGTTAAAATTGCCAAGTAATATAACTGGATATCCATTTTTTATTTGTAGATGATGCGGTGGCATGCCTAGCAAATCCATTGTGCTCAAAAACTCTCTTGGGTAATTAACCGATCCGTTGGAATCGAAAACTGTATCTATTAATTTTATAAGACCAGTTGCCTGGTAACGACTACTGTATCTTGAAATTTAAATCGCTGTCCACATTTATAGGCTGTGAGCCGTGTGTTGCACTAATTTTTAACAAAACAAAAAAACGGTTTCACCGAAGCTAGAATATAGAAAAGTTTCCATACAAAACTTGATTTTGATCAATCAGTTTGTATGGCAGCTATATACTATAGTGGTCCGATATCGGCGGTCCGACAAATGAACAGGTTGTTGGGGAGAAAAGGGCATGTGCTAAATTTTACCATAGATCGATATCTCCAAAACTGAGGGTTCGCGTATCAACAGACGCGCATGGCTAAACCGACTCAGCTAGTCACATTGATCATTTATATACATATATTATATATTTTATAGTTTCTTCGACGTTGCCCTCTGAATGTTACAAACTTCGCATATTTGGTTGCAGTTCTATGCTACCATTCCTAATATTTAGCAATTGTACGGAATATTCATAGTTGTGCTGGTCGATCAATTTGCAATTTTACCCGCATATTTATGGGCATTCGAAGTGCTTGAACACTTCAACAAAAAAAAAAAAAACGATTGTTTAGTTTAAATCTTTTATTATTCTGTGCAATTATTCGAAAATATTTGTAAGCCATTATGTACTCATCTCAAATTATGATGGAACTTTTTCTCAACACTGCAATTATTTCCTTATTTTTTATGTCAAATGTTGCGTCCAAGAAAAAACTTCTTGTTCAGTAGCAACAACCAGTAAAATATACAATCCTTACTGGTCAGCTCCCATAACTGCACAAATTTAATAAATACGTTTTTATTAATATTTTCATACAAACCCAATTTCAACAACTAAACGCTTCAATGGCTGACGAACACTATTTTGTTAATATTTCGTTCAAATTATCTCTGATAGACGGACCAAATGCATAGAATGATCGGACGGAATTTATCAAATGTGTAAAGAAAATTGTGTTGCTCCTGTTTTTATACCCTTGCAAAATGTTGCTGCAGAATATAATAGTTTTGTTTACCTAACGGTTGTTTGTATCACCTAAAAATAATCAAGTAAAATATAGGGTTATATACTCGTATATACATATAAATGTTCAATATGATGAGAAGAGTTCAATTCCTAGTGACTGTCTGTCTGTCAGTCTATGTAAGCGATAACTTGATTAAAAATTAAGATATCTTAATGAAACTTGGTACACATGTTGTTTGGAAAAATAGTAAGAGTTCAAAGTTGGGAGTAATCGGACCACTGCCACGCCCAAAAAATGCCATTAATCGAAAACGTATAAAGTGTCATAACTAAGCCGAAAATTATGCTATGTTCGCACCGAATTGAAATCCTTTTGAAAACACAATTTGTGGATTGTGGAACCAAAGTCGTTCTGACTGACATTGTGTGTTTTCGATGAGTTTTCATTGACAGTTCACACATCTATTGGTTTACATTTGTTATGTACCCTACAAGAACAGTGACGGTCATCTGATGGGTAATATGACAGTCATAGCTGAAAAAATTTTGTCAGCGCGCAGAACAAAGTTTCTATCATTTTCTTTAGAGTCTTGTTTTCTTTTTGTTTGTTTGCTTTGTTTTTTCTGAGTCATTGCTGACCATAAATCCGTCATAGCTGAAAATTGTCAGTTATGACTGAAAAGCTATCAGAAGTGAAAAATTCTTTAATAAATTTCAAACTTTTAATCAAAATTAGTTATAATAATATACTTAAATATAAAAAGGAACGCAACAAAAATCCTCCTCTCAATAGCTCTGCGTACGTCTGTCACCAATCAGTGGATAGTTCTGAATTTAAAAATGCAAATGTAAATTAACAGTACTGACATATCAAATGTGAGTGTATTGGTGAATCCATCAGCAGTTTCTTGTAGGGTACGTTTAGGCACATTATGGAATGTAAGCAAATTGTCAACTGACATTTAGGACTGGCAAAATATTGTGACGAACACGGATGATAGAACCAAATCGAATCAACGATAAACTACCAGAAGCAACTAGTTACGGAATTCGTAGTTGCCAGAATGTTCTAGAAGCAATGTTTTGTTACAGATTTACTATATAAGGGCTGCCGGATTGTGCAGCAAAGACAGTTCTAGTTAGAGTATTGTCGTGTTAAGAATAATTGAGACATAAGCAAGAAGTTGTAAGCTCGAATATCGAGCAATAAGTGTTAAGTTGTTGGAATTAGAAATAAAGATAAGTGTGTAGCCATTAAATTGGGGAGTTTTATTTAACAATCCAGTGATCGAACTCAAGAGTGAGTTACAGGTAGACGATTTATCGAGAAATCCGTTACAATTGGTAACAGAAGTGGGATTGTCAAATAAATTCCCAAGGAGATAATTATTTAAAAATGGCCAAGTTAACGATCTGAAGATTCCACAACTGAAAAAGGAGCTGGAGCAACGGGGTTTGGCGACAAATGGATTAAAAACGGGCGTATGCCAGCACAGGTGTCCTCACAGTCGGAAGAGGAGGAAGCGTGTGTACCAGTACAAGGGTCCTCACAGTCGAAAGAGCTGGAACTGCGTATGTCAGGGCAGGTGTTCTCACAGTTGGAAGAGGAGGAAGCGTGTGAACCAATAAAAGGTTCCTCACAGTTAGAAGAGCAAGAAGCTTGAATACCAGCACAAGTGTCCTTACAGTTAGAAGAGCAGGAAGCGTGTATACCATCACAGGTGGAAGATCAGCATAAAATTGAACCTGAAACGGATGACTCTTTGCAAGAAGATCCAGATTTGGAAGGTGCATTACATGAAGTGGAGTTGAACCAATGTACAACGATTGGAGAAATAACTACAGGAAGGCCAATCACATAATCATATTGGGCAGAACGGAGCAGTTTAAAGTTAGTGTATGGCTGCTTGCATCGAGTATGGATAAGCGAAAATGGGCAAACCTTCCGAGTACTTATGGTTGTTCCAAGGGTTGGAATTCCTGAGGTTCTAAACGTGCAGTACAAATGTCCAAGAGGAGGGCACTTGAGAGACATGAAATCCTTGGAGAATTTGAAGCAAAGGTTTTATTGGACTGGTTGTCAATCAGATAGAAAGGATTGCGAAATATGCTGAGAACATTGTAGCTAAAGGATCAAGGTCCAGGATTCATGGGCAGATGAAACAGCACAATTCGCGTGCGCCAGTTGAGAAAATAGGCGTGTATGAAGATGGTCCATTCCCCACCAATAAATTAGGAAATAGTCATGTTTTGGTAGTCAAGGACCATTTCAATGAATGGCCAGAAGTATACACAATTCCTAATCAAGAGACTGAACCAGTGGCGGAGGCATTCATCAACAAGTGGGTAACGAGATTCGGTGTTCCAATGGAGTTACGTTCTGATCAAGAATGGAATATCGAGTCAGCTTTAAGTCAAGGGATGTACCAGAAACTGAGTATCCGGAAAACGGATGGAATTAACTCCAAGAAGAGAAGGACGGCTAACGATGTCAGCACCAACCTAGAAGACGAGATGGGGGACATAAAAGCTTTCTGTTTGCTATCGCAAATATGTCTAATCGGAACGATCAGACTTAGGTGGAGGGCAGTGTGACGAACATAGATGATAGAACAAAATCGAATGAACGATAAACTGCCAGAAGCAACTAGTTAGCGAATTCGTAGTTGCCAGAATGTTCTAGAAGCAATGTTTTGTTACAGATTTACTATATAAGGGCTGCCGGTTTGTGCAGCAGACACAGTTCTAGTTAGAGTGTTGTCGTGATAAGAACAATTGAGACATAAGCAAGAAGTTGTAAGCTCGAATATCGAGCAATAAGTGTTAAGTTGTTGGAATTAGAAATAAAGATAAGTGTGTAGCCATTAAATTGGGGAGTTTTATTTAACAATCCAGTGATCGAACTCAAGAGTGAGTTACAGGTAGACGATTTATCGAGAAATCCGTTACAGTATGTCTTCTAATAATATCGATTAAACTAGAGCTAATATATCTAATAATATCGATTAAACTAGAGCAGGCACCGATTATAATGAGTGGAATGTAAGTTTTCAAGGCGTTTTCAGCGAAAACTGTGTTTTCGTTTGACAGATTTTGTATGGATGAAAACACAAGTTTTTGCGTGAAAACCTCTTTTGTCTATGAAAACACGAATTTTGTTTCGGTGCGAACATAGTATTAGGATAGATAACTCGAATTTGGCAAAACTAATTACATCAAGGGGGGGCACCTGCGGCTTTAAAATCTTTAAAAAAATGGGTGTGGCCCCGCCGCCTAATAAGTTTAATGTATATATGTATCTTCCAAACGAGTCAAGCTATATCACTCAAATTTACACAGAACAAACTTCAATCCTTCTTACGAAAGTGTGAAAATAGGTGTAGATGATAAACCCACCTACTTCCCATAGTTTTGTTAAAAACTACTAAAAGTGCGATAAATCAATAACCAAATGCGTCAGAGAAATGGAGAAAACCAGATCAAATATCCGGCTGACTTTACTCCATATAGATTGGTGGTTGTATGTAAGATATGTACCTTAATCAAATCCAGGGAGCATTTTTATTAGTACGTGGTATGTTAATAGTATGTGGTGTTGGCAAAAATAGACAAAAACGGGCCAATGCTACCCTCAACTCCCATATACTACATATTAGGTGTAGTAAAAAGAAATCCAAAAATTTTGCAAGAAATTTAATGCTTTAATTATTACTTTATGTTTAGGTCCTGGTCAATCGTAATCGATGTTTGGACTCGGCGATTTCTATTATTTGATCGATTTTTCGATAATTGCTCTTTCAGGGCGTGGTGCATCTTTGACATCGAAATAACCAGAACGGAATCTACGAAATCAAAATTGGGCATGATTGGCTATTACAGTATCAGGACCATAAACGCTATTCACATTTTCAGCCGCCTGGCTTGGGTTTTCGCCCTTATCTAAGAAAAAATGTAAACTATAGCTATTTTTTCTTCGCTAGTGTCCATCTTTGACGCGCTCTCAAACAAAACTGAATCAACCAATCACAAAACTGTCAGAAAAGCTAGTACGAAATGTCATCTTTCTAACGCCATCTAGCCGAACCCGATCGAACTTAAACAACGCGAGATACAGATAAATAATGCCATCTATCCATCACGAAATAATGGATTTCTTTTTACTAATGATTTTTGTTTTTCTAACAGTTTTCTTAAAAATCATGTGGTTTAGGGGTGAATTAGAAGGGAATTGGTCTAGATCTTTTTCTAAACCTATAACCCTAATATAATGTATTCCGATCCTTTGGTTGACGTTTTCCACATCAACTCACCATACGAGTATATTCAATTTAGCCTCTTTGGTTGAGTTGATCTCACATGTATCTCATTTAAAAATGTTTTAATATAGTTTTGGTTGACGCGGTCTATGACCTTCAAAATAAGTTAATATAATACCAAATTTGATTGTAATTCATTCAAGATTTCGTCAAATAATGAAGTTGAACTATTTCCCACATTTTTTAATTTTGCCAACACCTGAAGGTATTTCCCCGGCTTTCATCCTTGCAAGTTGCAAGAGTATAAAATGTTCAATTACTCCCGAAATTAGCTCTTCCTTACTTGTTTTAAATTCTTATTCATTTTCGGAACATTGCTACAGTTTGTATTAAAGAACAAAACGCAAAATGATCACAGCGGCTCGGTGGCTCAACGGAATCTAGTGGGATAATTGTCATTCATCAGTAAAAATATAGTTCGGAGTTTCAGTATTTTATGTCATATAATTGTATGCTGTAATTTTTATTAATGCTATTGTCACGTTAAAGTTTTGGTCACCTCTGTTCAAAAAAAAATTGAGTTGTTTTTCATTTTGGTAAGTTGTTTCGTGGATATGTATTCAACTTAAGTACACGAGTGTAAGTATATAAATATACTTTGTCCTTCCTAAATATAAATAATTTTGTGAAACATACTAAATTTAATAAATTACAACTTCTGTTCACTTTTGTGAGTCTAACAATACATTTTAAACATAAGTTTTTGCCTCGCCTCTATATATGTACAGCTCTTATAGCCGTCCAAAACCGTTCCCTAGTTCCTTTCGAGATATGTTATGGGTTATTATTGTTATATAAGACCCATCGCAGTGGCATATCCTTTTCGGCATGAGATGCAACTGCATCAGCATGAAATATTTATGATTTATAGACCTCGTTGTATATTTTGCATTTGATTGCTGGTTAGGGTATAGTCTAACATATTGCTTTTCCTACCAGAGTCGGAAATTTTTTGTGCCTTCCCCTCTTATCAACTTTCATCTACCAATATTTGCAGGAAACCAATATAAGCAACAAATGCATAAATTTTGAAGATCAGTGCTATAAATGGATAATGTTCTGGTCCAAAATAAGATACATAATGTTATTTAATTCAAGAATAATGTAGATAAGACTCGTCATTTGTGATAAATTTGTATTTAATGGATTCTGTAAATATTTATATTGTGTATATTATTATAAAAAGTGTGTAATTAAAATATTTATTGAGTGATTAGTAAGTGTTTGAAATGCAGTGTTTAAAAAGCTATTTAAATGGAAAGATTTATATGTAAAACAGTTGTGTTACAAACATTAAAAATTCGTGTAAACGCTACCGCTACAGCGTATTAATTTTTAAACCCTGAACTGAGCCACGAAGTTTGTAACACCCACAAGGAAACCTCGGAGGCACTATAAAATATAAATGTATGGTAAATCATCAGCATGACGAGCCGAATCGATTTAGCCATGTCTTAGTTTCTAAGTTTATGCGATATCGAGCCGAAATTTTGCACACGTCCTTTTCTCTTCAAAAAAAATGCTCATTTGTCGGTGCATTACTTAATATGAAGTAAAGGTGCAGAAACAATATAGTTTAGTCTAAGTGAATAAAACTGAACAATAGTATAAATGTAAAATTTATTATAAATCGAAAAATAAAATACTTTAAATAGTTGAATTTCTGAACTTTAAATGCAAAAATTTTTACAATAAAGTTTCCCGCGGCTATACCATATATATCTATATGTACAGCTGTGTTCATAAAAATAGCAGTGCTCATGAGCTGCAACTTTAAACTTAATTTTATATATCAAAAAGTAAATGAATGTTCACAAATTTAATTTTGTTTTAACTTTGTGATTATTTTAAACAAAAACAAATCAATTTATTATTCAAAACGTTGTTAATTTTTTTTACATTATTAATTTAAACAAAAAAGTGCTGTTTACAGCTGTTTATAAAAATAGCAGTGAGTAATGAAAACAGTGGAATTAGTTGAAAAAAACATTGTTGAACTCCAAAAAACTATTTTAATTTGTTTGCTTGGGTTAGTACTTAGTCGTGTACCCATTATGGCCTGGCAACTGCGAGGCATAGAAACCACCAAGTCCTGGCAGCGCTTGACAGGGATCCGCTCCCATGATTTTTGAACAACCTCCCAATGCTGTGATCGAGATGTTGGATTTGCATTGGCAACATATCGTTTAACATCTCCCCATAGGTTTTCAATTGGATTTAAATCCGGAGACTGCGCAGGCCATGACATAAGATCGATCCGCTTTGATGCCATCCAGCTTTTGACCAGTTTGTATGTTTGGGGTCGTTATCTTGTTAAAACGTCAATTTTAGTGGCATTTCCCAATTGGCATAAGGAAACATAAAATTTTCTAATATGTTAACATATACAGATCGATCCATGATCCCATCAATCATGAATATAGGGCCCACTCCACTGTAAGAAAAACATGCCCATACCATAATACTCAATCCGCCGTGTTTAACTGTCTTCAAAGTGTACCTAGGATCGTACTCTGTTTTAGGTGGACATCTGACATATTGTCTGGAGCTCTTTTAACCAAATAACACAATTTTACTTTCGTCACTCCAAAAAATATTTCGCCACTTTGTAATGGGCCAATTAAGGTGACTTTTGGCGAACTCCAAACGTGCTTTGACATGTCTGGTGGCTAACAGTGGAACTTTTCGTGGATGGCACGCTTTGAGATTTTGTTCTTTAAGACGTGGTGTGGTTTCACGTTGGATACCACGATTTTCGGGCATTTCTTTAAAGTTTAAAGCATTATGAATCATTTTAGCAGAACATCCACATATTTCTTGGATGTCTTTATATGTTTTTCCCAGGTTTCTTAGTTGCACTATAATATTTCTTTTTTCAGGAGTACAATGTTTGCCCCTGCCCACTAAGTTAAAAAATATAAATTTATTTTACTGTTTTCTAATGTTAATAATAGTCACTAACACAAAACCACTTACTTTTTATCAATTAAACGTCTTAACAAAATTTTTTTGGCTTATCAAGATACGCACTGCTTTCTTCCTTATACACATTCTATTCTACAACAACGATGCGTAGACGTTGGAATAATCGTAACGGAACTTGAAAAAAATAACATTACTTGATTGCATTTCTCGCACTGCTATTTTTGTGAACACAGCTGTATATATAAATCGATTTTTTTTTTCGTAGTATTTATTTATTATACGCATCAGGGATGGATGACTGGTATGTATTGTAATATGATTTGTCTATAATAATAAATATAGTTCTATGAAACATATTCAATCTGTTGTTGAAACTTTAAACGCGTTTTTCTCGAAGCAGCGTTTTTACGGTCAACCCGGATGATAAAAAAAAAACAGTTTTTATCCAAGCGATTGGGCTGAAATTTGGTTATTTTAGTCTAAAAAATATTTTTTTTGTACACTCTGAGATACTATTAACAATGTATTATTGTACAAACTGATTGAATTTTATTTTTTCCAAATAGAATATTCCCAAAAAAAGGATTAAAAAAATTCAAGTTACCTGAAGAACTTTATAAACAAATCTATATCAATATTTGTACATAAATATGTATGTCTATGTATACAAAAGAAAGAAAGAAAAACTATTATTAATCGGCCTCAATTGGACTGGATACCATTCTCGGACAGTTTGCATATCTACAGGTAACACAAAAGTTAGTCTGTATTTAGCAACATATACATAAGGGGTCGGCTTTAGAAAACCGCCCCAGGATTTCGGTGATAAAATGGGTATGGACGGATGGAGGAAGTCCTCTAGATCATGAATATATATCGATATAGCCAGGAAACTTATAGTTTTCAAGATATTTACGTTTAAAGTTGAAAATGTCATCTATTTAAAGTACGTATATTTTCGATTTCAAATGAATTTTACACTTATATTTTTAACTTTTATATCCACTAACATTTCACTAATTCGTTTTTACACATTTATTTTATATTATACAGTGCATATATGTTTAATTCAATATTTAACTTTTTGTTCAATTTTATTAATTCGCACAATAACAAATGGGTTGCATAATGCCAAATAACCAGTGTCACCATACTAACATTTTTTGCAGGCGAAGAAAAATGATATAAAACAGAAAGATGATACCCCAAATACAGGAACCATAATCAGTTACGGACAATAATAAAGTTTCCTGCACTTCAGAAACCCCGGTGTTGGATTGACCGTGGTTATTTTTTTGAAGCGCGGTCGAAGGGCGCCAACGCAAAAAGGAATTCTACGCGAAAAAAACTGGTACACCCCGGTGTTGGATCGACCAGGGTTATTTTTTTTTGAAACGCGGCTGTAGGCCGCCATCACAAAAAGGGGGTACTAAGCGAAAAAATAATATTGCCATAGGAGGTATAACATTAACTTAAATATTAATATTCTTTAACGGATATTGTTAATCCTACTTTTGAAACAATGTACAAACAGTTTCGTTTTATTATATTAGAATAATTTTTTTAATATTTTATTCTTTTAGGTTTTGGGTTCTTCTATTTGGGGTATAATATGTTTACTTTATTTCTTTCAGTTCATTTACAAATGATGTCGATAAGGTAACACTGGTTATTTGACATTTTGCAACCCCTTTGTTATTGTGTGAATTAATAGAATAGAAAAATAGGTTAAATATTGAAATAAAGCAATTTTCGCACTATATAATGTAGAATCTGTACAAACGAATTAAATAGTTGAAATTTTCATCTAATATCTCGAATACTATAAGTTTCCCACGGCTATATCTGTATATATTCTTGATCTGAAGGACCTCCTTTATTCGGACATACCTATTTTATTACCGAAATCCTGGGACAGTATTCTAAAGATACTAGAAGAGCCTTCAGTATCTTTGGACTGGTATTAAAGTAAGTAATCTACTGTTATTTTGTTTGCATATAAAATCGTATCGAGTGTCTTATGTATTTTGATGTTACTTATCTTTGCCACATTGTAACTCACTTATCGATCTCGTCCACTATTTGAAAATATACTCATACATACAGCATATACATTTATATATGTATACTTATACCTAATGGCTTCATTTTCAATGTATTCATTATTTCAGAGGCAGCCTCAACAGTTTTTATATCATTCTCTCAACACACAATGGTGCAATGTAAAAACGCAAGGAATGTGAACGTTTAATCTCTGAAATTGGTGAAATGTCCCTTTTCAAATAATTTGTAGTCGAGTTTTTGGCGAAAACCCCTAGAAGAACTAATGTATTACTAATTGTTGCCAGTGGTCGAAATTCGACCAATAGAAAATACAATTTATTAACAATGTTAATAATATTTAAATTGTATTAAAGAATTTGAACAAAATCTAAAATTATAAAAATAATTATTCTATATATCTGTATCACGATTCACGTTAATTGCCATACAAATCTCTTTCTGCGTATTGTATACTCTATCACAATGTTCCTTCATTGTACGAAATGAACGAATAAATGGATTAATTCTATCTAGTTCAACGAAAATTTGTCTCATTAAAACATCATCGCAAGTTTTATTTGATTGCTCTCGCATTCTATATTAAACAGCTGTATCGACATCGTAAAGATACAACTAAACATAATTCAACGTACGACCATATGCTGTGACATGGTCCATATTTTAATGTCGTAAATTTTGAAATGATAAATTTCTCTTAAAAATGTGTCAGAAATATTAGCTTCCGAACTGACCATAGCATAGGCCGAATTGTAGCTTCAAATATTGTAGAAATATTTTTTGCACTTTTTATTTTTATTTATATTATTTGATGTAAGGCCGTCATATAATATAATGAATTAAAAAAATTATTTTGTGTTAACAGTGGAAGATGGACTTTACTCTCATGACAACACATAAGGAAGGAATTTGTTTCACGCATTGTAGACTCTGAAGCAAAATGCCTAGCTAAACAATGACTACAAACCAAGTTCATAGAACCAATATGAAAGGCATAAAAATTAGGCGGTATTTTAACCAAGGCACATTTGAACGAACTTCGCAAAGGAACTCAATTATGATCAACATTTGACGTTGTTCAATTCAATTAAATTTAAATTAAAAATAAATTTAAATTTGTAGTATTAATAACATTACGGTAGGGCATTTTAATAATTGAATGAATGACTGATTAGCAATAAATATCACCTACCGAACATACAAGTTATGTTCACAATTTTGTTTACAAATTGAAAGTAAAGAAAGAAATAAACTCACCAATAATAAAGGAAAATGAGAAGAAATAAATTATCTCTCAATTTGAATTCCGCTTATGTCGATTCAACCAACTAATTAATCTTGGAAAAAGATGGTAACAATTTTAATTATCAAACAATGCACTTAAAATTTACCTAAAAATTTCTAACTCACCAAAATAAAATGAACGTTGTCAATAAAATTTTCGTTAACAGTTGCAACAAACTAACCGTATGCAATGAAAAGGAAATAATTCAATCACTTGTTATTTCGTTGTTGATATTGTCGATTCAACCAACTACATAAAACAGACCTTAGAACAAAATTTTTCAAAAATTAACCATCACAAAAAAAACATTTTCTAGCAAATTAACAATCACACAAAGCACTTAAAATTAATTTAAAAATTTCTAATTCACCAGAATATTCACAAACAATACTTGAAATTTAATGTGCGTCAAAAACATAATTGCAACAGAATTCAGTATTGAAAAACGAAAATTCCAAATACAATTAAAAGTGAAGAAAAAACGCAACCACAAATCCCCCGTAATCGATATACAATTATCCGATATATGTATTTGCAACTTATACAGAACAGCGACGATATGTACTTCTATATACGACTGTGTTAAGTGTGACACGCAAAGTAGATATAACATCGACCAACGGTATAAATTTTATCCATATATGACAACGGAAGCACAGTTAACAAAAATTTTGTTTTAGCGTATTTATATATAGATATTTAAACTATATAAAAATATTGTATATATTGGATTTACTTTTACTACTATTACTATTATATTATAGGTATATATATATATTATATATACATATGTATATGTATATATAAAAATTACATATTTACGTACATATATGGCATTAATTGATTTGAATGGTTAGTTTAAATATAAATACGTTTTTTAAAAAAAAAAATATAATAATAATACAATATATACTGAAATTTAGTTAAAAGAATACAAATTAGTTATGGTAACAAAAAGGTAACCGATATGCTAACATATGCATTTGTTAGAGGTAATAGATGGATAAACAATAGAGTAACACTTCAATGAAAAAAAGTAACATATATTTGTTACTGCTAACAAATATGTACGAAATGCGCTAACATGTTTGTATGTTAGGGGTAACAAACTGCTAACCAAAACAATAACCCTTATGGTAACTGATATTTCTGTTATGAGTAACACCTAGGTAACCCATTCGCTAACACATGTAAATAACAGAGGTAACACATAGCTAACATATTCGCTAACACATGTATTTGTTGCATCTAATAAGCTGTAACCAATATATGCCATACTGCTAACCATTACATTTCTTGCCATATCGGACAAAATATTTAATATATGGAGAAACTATTAAATTCTTTTTTTATGATTTTATGGTATTTTAAAACAACTGACTTTGGAACTTTCAATACTTAGGCTAATGTCAAAAAGGAAGCGAGATGAAGCGATGCTATAAGATGGCGCTACATCTAGCTATAAATCGTTGCATGTGCATGTGTATATAAATCGTTCAAAGTTGTCAGAGTGAGAGCGAGCACCAGAGCGACTTCTAGAGGGCAAAGCGACAAAGCAGGTTGTGCAGTGTTTTCTCGCTTGAACTCTCTTTGTTATTATTAGTAATTGTTGTTTTCTTATTTACTGTTGCGCATTTTATTGTTTCCTTTTTTGTATTTCAAGTTCAATTTCAGACATGTTTATTTAAATTTGATTATCAGTGGAATATTTTGAAACGCAAGCACGTGTTTTGATTTTTTCTGAAAATAGTTAAATAAAGTGAGAAATAGACACTGATGTAGAAACACTGATTAATGCAATTTTTTTGTGTCCAATATTATGGAACCAAAGAAATAAAGCTTCCAAATAAAAAAACTCTCCGTCTGAATCCATTGATCACACTAAAATTTTAATCAACCTTAATAAAGTGATTTAAGCTTGTTAGCTCACAATTATTAAAGGTTTTTAAATCATATTGTTAATGCATTACATTACAAAACATTTCATTAAATTCATTCACATTTCGTGTATTCTTTGATTCTCAATGCTTTACATTTTTTATTAGAGCTCTTAAACGACGGCAACAAATGCCTCCGTTCACATATATTTTTAGTAGAGTATCAATCTGGCCGTTCCAATTGCGAAACGTCAAAACCTTCCCGATTCATTCAACTGCCAAAGTCGGGTAGGTGAGTTTCCCTCTCATATTCAATAACCAAACCAATAGAGTACGCATAGAAAGGGACAACTTGCCATAAATGTAATTGGATGGATAGGTAACAAACAGTTAACACGTTTGCTAACAAATGCCCGTCTTGCAGGGTACCTGACAACAACATCAATAAAAAGTACAGCATAATTCTCAGAATTGAATCTAAAAACTATATTTTGACTGCCAATTTCTCTCAGGAGTGATGTTTAAACAGTCACCGACCCAAAACCGTGGACCGAATCAGCTGATACGACCTATCTTATGAGTGCGCAATGTAAATGAACACTCACCACCGCTTCTACAGACCGTACGGTAGGATACCCGCGAAATTTGGATTTTTCCCGTAGAAACGAGTGCGCTGATAGCGAGAGAGCAATTTCTTAAAACGCAGGACTTGAATATATAATATTTGAAATACTCTAAAATAATTCAAAATCACAGTCGAAAACATTTATTTATAATAGGTAGACTATTTTCAATAGTTAGATTTTTTGTTAGTTTTGAGGTTTTACATTATGAAAAAATATAACTAAAAAACTAAATGTGTGAAAAATCGTGTATACAAATAGAATGGAAACATTGGTGAAATGAAAACATAAGAGAACAACGGACAACTTAAAAACATCACAACATATGGACACCCCGATTTTGGACCGACCGGGGTTATTATTTTGAAGCCCGACCGAAGGCCGCCTGTGAAGAAAGGAGGGTAAATATGTACTTAATGACCCCCACTTCGTAGGGGGTTGGGGTTGTAAGGGGTGACACAATTAAGTGTAATTTTTATGAATTCGAAGGAATTACCCGTCAGTCACCCCTTAAAAAAAAGTTATGTAGATTACAAATCCGTGAGTGGAAAGTGAATTTTTTCAATAATTTATGTATATTTTTCACTATTTATTTACACACTTTGCACATATCACATATTCAAGTCACTTAGTTGTTGTTGTAGCGGCAAAACTCTGTAGAATTCAGATCTCTTAGCTGTAATTACCAGTTCAGTGTGTTAAACATTTTCTTATGAAAAAAATACACTGAAGAAATGTAATAGTCAAAATTTCTTTTGTGCCGCGTTTTTATGGAATGAATGAATATCGGAGATCGTCGAACTCCTTTCCGCACTGGCGGCCTTCGGCCGCGCTTCATAAAAATTACCCTGGTCAGTCAAAAACCGGGGTGTTCATAATTCAGTCGCGTCAAACTCCTTTCTGCTCTGGCGGAAAAACATGAGGGTAATTTTTTGAATATAAAAATATTTTTTTTTTCATAAAAATAAACAGAATTATTGAACAAATCTACTCTCCGCTCACGGATTGATAACCTTCGCGTCAAAATAAGATGGTTTAAAAAAACAAAATTTATTTTCGAGGCCTCCCTCTTTGGGGAACCTAAACCATACATTTATCAAAATTGTAACTCCATAAATTTTTATTATTATACATTAATACCTTTTTAATGTATTAAATAGTTTATAATAAGGGAAAACTTTAGTATACCATCCCAGGCTTTCAGGGATAAAATGGGTATGGGCGGATAAAGGAGATCCAAATCAAGAATATATGTAGATATAGCCGCGGGAAACTTATAGTTTTCGAGATATTTACGTTTAAAGTTGAAAATTTCGACTATTTAAAGTACGCATTTTTCCGATTTCAAATGAATTATACACTTATATTTTTCACTTTAATATCCACTAACACTTGACTAATTCGTTTTTAGACATTTTTTTTATATTAGATGATGCAAAAATAGCTAAAATCTATATATATTCTTGATCTGGAGGATCTTCTTTATCCGCCCATACCCATTTTATCTTTCCTGGGACGGTATACTTAAGGCGAACCTATAATAATATAATATATTGTAAAATGTATACTTCAGCCACAGCAACACGTGGGAGGCGGCTTCTATAATTTTAATAACTAATAAATTGTGCCAACAATAAACCTTACATTATCACTCAGGAGAACTACCCTATCAGCCCATTTTATCACAATTTAGAAGGTTTTAATTATAATTGTTCGATTTTACCTTTGACCTTTGCTCGGATTTTAAATATTAAAAT